TTGTTTTTTCATTTCTATATTTTATTTTTTGCTTGTAGAAATCGGCGACCTACAAGTGCCAGGTTATGAACTCGGCCGGCATGTCGGAGGTTGAGAGCCGCGTGGACGTGGTGGGCGGCCAGGGCGTGCCCGAGTGCCCCGCGTCGCGCGCGGCCGGGGTGGAGTGGGCGACCACGCCGGTGGACCGCGAGGCGCTCCTGGAGTGCTCCGTGCTGCTGGGCTACACGGGCGGGCTGGCGCGCCGCCAGTGTGTGCTGCGCGGCCGCGACCAGGACGAGGACCAGCAGGACCTGGGCCAGGACTTGGGCCAGGACCTCGCCGCCGAGTGGGAGGAGCCCGACTTCCACGAGTGCGTGCAGGAGGAGTTCGCCGCCATCAGAGACAACGTGAGTCGCTGGGGCTGGGGGACGTGTTACGTGTGGTAAGGTGGCGGTCGCCTTCGTTTGGATGAGGCGCGTCGGGCGAGCCTGCCTGACCTACCGGGCTGGGCCCTTTGACCCTTGGTCCTGTAGCAAGCATCTCAGCCCCCCCCCCCCTCCGACCTCCAGCCGGCCTCCAGCCGGCCCCGAGCCCACTCCAGCGGCGAGACTGTGATCACAGAGCGGCGCGGACCACAAGCCGGGCCCGGCCGGGTAGGGGTCGGTCAGCCGATCATGGTCAGCCCTGTTCCCAATCCCTCCCCCGCCCACTCCCCCTCCCGTCCCGTTTGCGGTCGGGCGGAGTCTTTTTGCGACACGCTGTGGTCCAGGACTGCTGCTGCTGCGGCCGGGCCGCCGCGACGAGATTGGGTCGGCGGCGAGGGTGTAAGCCGTGTGATTGCTGCGGTGTCGTAGTCAGAACTAGGATTCGGAGCCCCCGGGCCGGCTCCCGGCTCGCCGGACCATCTGATCTGACGTCTGTGTTTTGATGTGTGATTTAGTTCGCGCGGCTGACGCTGGGCTACGCCAACACCACGGCGCTCAAGACCCTGGAGGCGGTGCGGCGGTGGCTGGAGGCGCGCGCCGACGGCCGCGAGGAGGGCGTGGCGGAGGGCGGCCAGGGCCCGGCGGGGCTGCGCCCGCGCGAGGGCGAGCCCATCCTGGCCCTGGCCGTGGACGTGGCGGCGTACCAGCGCAAGGTCCTGGGCGCACGACAGCTGCTGCAGCTCCGCGAGGAGCTGTTCAAGATCGTGGACCTGCTGCTGCAGAGCGAGCCGGAGGGTCCTCATCGCAGCCGCGCCGTGCAAGACAACATGGTGAGCGGAAGTGCCATCCGGCCTGGAGTGCAACATGACGTCCACGACTTCGTCTCACTGTTTTTTATATCCGGCAGGCCATCGAGGAGGTGCAGGCGCTGGTTCGCGAGCAGGCTCTGTTGTGGGCCTCGTCGCTACCCTCCCCGCTGTCGTCGGCGTCCTCCTCAGTGTCATCGTCCGCCCGCAGCGCCGCCGCCCCGCCGACCGACGCGGCCGCCGCGCCGCCCCACGCCAGCCCCGCCTACTCGCAGATGGACGTGCACGTGGTGGGCGCCAACGACCTGGACGAGGCGGGCCGCGCTGGTGGCGCGCAGGGCTTCCCGCTGCCAGAGTAAGTGCCCTCCGCTATCTGCAGTGCATTCGGATTTTTCGTCCCCTCCACACTCACACGGGTCCCCAAGTCGCCATAAGCCTTTTACGCCGCGTCCCCAGCGACGCCTCCGTCCGCGGCGGTATATACAGTACTTCGCAGATCAGACGCCGCCGCCGGGCGGAGAAGATATTTCAGCATGCCTCTCGTGATTTCAGTCAATGGCGAGCGTCGTGACCGAAATCCGATCGGGGCGTTGTAGTAGCACCACCGCCCCGCCGTGGAATCCCTTATCACGCCCGATCTGCGGCTGCGGGGGTATAGGGTGGTAACCGGGGCGGGGCTGTAGCTGGGCATCACAGCTCAAGCTCAGGGGCTGATGAAGTGAAACTCTCCACTCAGCTCGCCTCGGCGGCGGTGGTGGGGACTAGAGATAAAGATAAGCGTGTCTCCTCTCCGCGATGCGCCCCCAGACTCTGCGCCAACGGTCTGGGTTATGCACAGCCCCACCCTGAGCGTCGAAGTGGAGAAAAGGGCGCCCGATTTCCCTTCACACGCCGTGCGATCGCGTACACCATATTTCCTGGCTCTCGCCGTTTGAGGTAATTCCGTTCTACCGCACTACTGGCACTCAGACCCCTCTCTGCCTTCTTCCCAACCACAGGAGCTGCGCGCCAACATCAAGTCGGGCGTGGTGCGCGAGGGGGACGACTTCATCCTGTCGTGCGTGGCGAGGGGCGCCACGTCGATGCAGTTCAGCTGGTACAAGGACGGCGTGCTCATCAACGCCTCGCTGGCGCGGCGGTGAGTATGGGGCAGGGCCCAGGGCCCCCGGCGGGGTAGGCCGTGCCGCCGTGCAGCAGTGCGCGCCTGGTCTGCCTACACGCCGGGGGCTCTCTCACGCTCTGTCAATCTGTCTCTCCATCTCTCACTCTCGCTCACTCACACCCACTCTCGCTCACTTACACCCACTCTCGCTCACGTACACCCACTCTCGCTCACTTACACTTACTCTCGCCCACTTACACGTTCTCTCACTCTCACACTCTCTCATTCTCATACACTCGCACTCTCACTCTATCTCTCTCTCTCTCGTTCTCCCGCAGCGGCTGGTCACTCATCCGTTCGCTCTCCCTCCGCAGGAACATGCTGTCGCAGGTGCAGTCGCTGGGCAAGGAGTCGACGTGGTCCGCCGTGCTGGTGGTGGAGGGCACGTCCCCGATGGACGCGGGCCGGTTCACGTGCCGCGTGCGGGACGCGGGCTCGGAGCAGTGCCGCTCCGTGGACGTGCACGTGCTGTCGCCGCCGCGACTCGCCGTGCGCCCGCTCGTGCACACGGTGCGGGCGGGCGCCAACGTGACCACCTGCTGCTACACGGGCGCCGAGCGGCTCGGCGTCACCTGGGCCAAGAACCACCACCTGCTCGCGCTCAGCCCGGGCAAGGAGGTGGAGGAGGACCTGGTGTACCCGCCGGGGTCGCTGATGCGCCTCTACAACGTGACGGTGGGTACGGCTCGGCCCATCCGGCCCCATCGTGACACAGGACAGACGGGGGGCTGCTGGCCTTCGTCATCGGGTGCGTGACGCAGCCACGGCCCAAGCCGGGCACTCAGCCGCCGGCCCGGCCCTTCACGCCATCAACAAATGCAGCCATCACATCGGCGAGCTAGCTGCCGTTTATTGGAGAGGAGATATCGAGAAAAGAAACGCGGGCGAGGCCAAACCGAGGCGGCGCGGGGCTGCGCGGCGGGGGCGGAGTGAGGGGCGAGCCATATTGCCCCGCTTCCCATTTCCATTTGGCAGATTCCTCAGCTGGACTCGTTGACACGCGGCAAAAAGGAGGGGGTGGGGACGACCATGAGAAAGACACTGCAGTGAAGGCGACGGAAGGGTGGGGGTGGCTTGGGCCGCTGGGATGAGGAATTTTCATTACTCTCCAATCTTCCACCTATTTTCCCCGTCTCTAGCCTTATGGCAACGGGCCTATTGAAAATGATATCATTGCCATCGAACCAAATTGGTCGTCCAGGCTGGCAGGGCAGGCCGGAATGGGCTGGGCTGGCCGCGTAGCCATGGAGGGGGTTTTGGGCGCGTTTAATATCACAGCGTGACCGAGGAAAATTTCCCTCACAACACGGCGCATTTATCGTGGCCTCTGTCGTCTCTTTG